TGATATCAGTTTTTGGTGAAAATTTGATTGAGAGTCGTGCTCACCTATCCTCCAGCGAATTCTTGGTGAAGGATTTGGTTCTTTGGAAGAATACTRCTGATTCTACTCCACCCTACACTGTGTCATCTTCAGTGGGAGCAGTCTTTGGATCCTTCCTTGGGCGTGAACACTTCCATTGGAAAATATTATTTATTCGTATCAGGTATATTCCTCTCCTACTGTTTTGGTTTAGATCTGTTTCGGTTCTTGGTTTAAGATTGATCCTTGAAAAATGCAGTTTTTCTAAAACAGGGAATGTGATTTCCACAAGAGAGAGAGAAATTTTTTGAAATTTCATCCTACCTTCCTGCAGGGTTCGGCCATCCATATGATGGATCTCTCATCCCTTCAGATTCATAAGGTAGCATTAGCGGAGAATGTGGTAGACCCATTGACTAAGCCACTTACATAGAAAATGGTTGAAAAACGCATGCATTGTATGAGACTGAAGCTTGTATCAGATTGGACCTAAGTGCAACTGGGAGTTGTTAGATAGTGTATGCCCAAAGCTCCAATCAGATCGATGTACTGATACATTTATTGTAAATGAAAAAAAGTACATAATTGTTTCATGTTATGATTGGTGTGTTTTTGTGTAATTACCCCTTAAACTATACACTTATGAGACTTGTGTTAGTTTAGAATGTTCTCAGCCGTTGGATAGACTTGGGAGTTTATCCTATCAAGGCTGACACTAATGTGTTGCCAAAGAAGTTGGGGCAGCTTATCTTAGCTGCTAGGGTTGGATCAGAAGCACATGTAGTGTGTGTTTGTTTGAATCACTAAACTCGGACAAATTTCCAGTTATGCCCTAGACCTTGGAGACTGATAGGAAAAACTGGAAAGTTACACATAACTCCTACACTCAATTATGGTACTGCACTAGATGTCGGATCGGATTGTTTTTGATATGCCAATCAGTGAGATCCTTTGGGGGTCAAAACCTAGGTATGTTGGAGTAGTCTAAGAATTCGCTCGAGTGGGTGATCATAGTGATAGGATCAGCCCCTTTATCGGACAACGTGAATGATCGGGACTGCACTCTCTCTGATGGAAACCAAAATTGCCAATAGTCGATTTCAACCGTGTTTGAGACTTGTTTTGCAATATATATATATATATGTTTTTAAGGAAAATTGTTTGCAAAATGTTTTAATTCCTTGGACCCATCCGAGCAGAGAATGCGACACTGCACCTTGCAGCCAAGGGAGAGGTTCTTCTCTGTCGGGTAGTGTTTGATCATTATGGGTTGAAAGGTTAAGTGTAAGAGATCATTAAGGGTTGTTTTACCTAATGGGCTATATCTTGCTTAAGTCCATTGTTCGTGGGCCTTCATAGGATGGCCGAACTCAATGATCATTTATTGTAAATGTTAGGGTCAATTAAGAGCCCATACTAATGGACTTGGGGGTTCACTGTGTTTGATAGTGAATTCGGCCAAGCCTTTTTCATAAAGGCTGGGCCGAACCCATGTGGGCTTATGTAAGGTCATTATTGGGTCCCACGCCATAAAGGTGAACCTAAATAGGCTAGCAACTACCTAAGGATGTGAACCACTTGTTTAATGGGCCTAAAGTCCATGATTAATTAGATTAATCAAGTGGTCACATGACAACTTAAACAATCATGTGATTTGGGCTGATATGGGTATGAAACACTCGTTCACATAAGAGGATAAGTCTTATCCACTTATAGAGTCCATATCCAAATAAAGATTTGGATTAGGAACCTCCTAATTCGATTAGGATTGGTGCTACTTAAGGCTTATAAAAAGGGGGTGAACTGCTCCTGATTATCTTCTGCTCTCAATTCTCTCTCTGCTCTTGCCGCCCAAAAACCCTAATTCGTTCTCCATATTTTGTGACTGATCTTGATCAGTTTGATTTCTCATTTTTGCAAGAAAATATCAGATAAAATTCGTGCTCACCTCCCTTGTACGATCCAATCAGTTGGACTACAGTTTTGCTGAAAGCTACATTGCTAAACCGGCTTCAATTCTGCACCATCTTCAGTGGAAGCTGGTTTTGGGATTCAACTTGGGCGTGAACTACCACTTTGGGAGCTACACTCATGGAATCCGTATCAAGTATACTTCTCCATTCCTTTTGGTTTCAAATCTAATCCAATTTCGGTGCAAGAACGTCTTGAAAAATGCAGTTTTTTTAAAACTAAGAATACGATTCTCGAAAGGTTGCAAAAAAATTTTTGAAAATTAACCCAACCATTTAGTATGGTTCGGTCATCCATATGGATCTAACCTTCCTTCAGTCTAGAACTGAAAAAACATACATATTTGGAAAAAGAAAAAAATTCACAATTTTAGTATATTTTAAAAATGATTTTCAATTAAAAAACAAAAATGCTGATATAGACTCAAGAGTTCAATTTTGGTCAAATTTTTTGCGATAATACGAATTGCCTAAGAGGGCAACATGACTAGGTTCTATTTGTAGCACAAATCTAAATTGGACAAAAATTTTGCACCTTCTTACACTATGCATTCATTTGTATGCAACTATGGTTGGGAGAGTGACTAATCAGTCCAGGTCAGAATTTTATAGCCCCACCATGAATTGATGCCAAATTCACAGGCATGATCAATCTATAGGGGGGCTACTAGTAGACTATGGGGGCCTGTCATTCAGAATTCTTCATTAGGTTGCAGAATACTTAATCCACTGTGATTTGTGCTTCAACTTTCAGGCACCTTTCCTCATTTGTACTTGTTGGCAGTGCAAACTTTGTATACCACCTTCCTACTACCTTGAATTTCTCTCATATACAAAGTTGGGAACTTTCATTTTGCCTCTCACCACTCTTCGGAAACAAATAACCTTCTTCCTGCCTCAATTCCTTTTCACGTGCCTTTTCACATGAAGTGGGGAGTACAAATAAGGCTGCAAACGGATCAGATCAAATTTTAACATTCAAATCAAATTCTGATTATAATCAGATATTAAGACCAACTTCAATGATAGATATAGTAGACCTTTTAAGTATATTTAAACATATATTGAATCCAATAGGATTATATCGGATGGAATAGGAGTATATTCATATTTGATCCAATTATAAACAGATTGAATTCAGATCAGACTTAATAGGATCTATTTGAATTTGAAATCGGATAATTGAATACTGATTGCAGCCCCAAGTACAATACAATTTTGTAGAGTGCAAAAGCTTATATTTTGTATGTATTTATTCTGTACATATTTGTATTTGTACTCTTTACAAACAACCATCAGCATTCGGGTGCAAATTTCATTTTGTACTGCAAACAAGTAGAGACTAAATTTCCTTCAATTGCCCTCGCCTTCCTTTTGCATTGTCCAATTTCCGTTTCCTTTTATATTATTCAATGCAACTAGAACAGAGCCGACGCTGTCAGCATGGGTTCCCTTGAAAAGCAACATTCTTTATCGTTTATCATACAGGCCACAAAACCTCTATATTCAGAACTAAAGAAGGTGCAAACCCACCACCAATCATGGTGTGGGTACAAATCCATAAAACCTCCAAGTGATCAGCATTTGCACCTCGTTAGGTTTAGGATCCACACAAATCATAATGGAACTCAAGCAGAGCATTATAGTTGTTCCAACTTCCAACAAACATCACTTGGGGCCCGACTCAACTAACAAGGAAATAGGTCTTTGGTCCAAGCCTTTTCTGAATTCCCCTAATTAATCTTCAAGTTCAAATGCAGCAGACAACGGAATGTTAATTATATAAAACTTACAGAAAACATAACAAACCAGATAAGCATGACAATCATCTATAAAGAAAAGAAACAAAACAAATCAAGGAAATTTTGAATTTCAGACCGCTTTCTACAGAGCTTTTTTTTTTCCACTTCAAACTGTCACTGCTTTCCTACCCGTTCGGTAATTCACATGTTAGCGGGTGTATAATTGGGCCATACCTGCATGCCAAGATATACACATCCAAAATATTAAAGCTGTACATACTACATAGCAATCCCAAAATGCCCTTCACCAGATTTATCAAACGAACACCACTTAAAATCCGTATCCACAAGCCCAGAAGGCTGAGCAAAAAGAAATGAAACAGAAGCATCACACAACTAATAGCTTCTTCACCCCTAGTTATGGTACATTAATTCTGTCATATGCACATGTTATCACCTCAAGACCAACAAGCTTGATCTAGTTCCTGTGCCACAAAATAATAATTGTGAGATAGGCAAGGGTCAACAACTAGTACAATTATACACCCTGTTTAACTGAGGTAATGGATTCAAAACCAACAATGTTGCATCATACTCACTGATAATGGATTCAACAACTAGTACAATTATACACCCTGATAAGCTGATAAGTCAATGGTTTTAGAAAATATATTAAAACAAAATTTTGAGGTGATCATTGACTTAGAGCAGGATTACAATTACAAGTAAATTTCTATGTTTGAAAAAACAAATGCTAAACACGAACCCAGATTTCCTACCCGCCGTGAATTGCAGCCACACATCTCTCAATTCATAATAGAGATGTGTGGCTGCAATTCACGGCGGGTAGAGAGTGGGTAGGAAAAGTGAGTAGGAAATCCTGTTTGGACACACTATGCATAAGCAGGAAAATATGGCTATCAAAAAAGCGAAAAAAAAAGGCAGGAAAAGAGTTCAGATCTGCTACCCACAAAGACGCTGCCCAGACATATCCACAAGACACTACAGCCACACATCAGAAACATCTCCCCATGAATGACAACTGAGATGTTCCCAATCTGCAACTGTAGTGTCCTTGTGGGTAGCAGATCCAGACTCAGAAAAAAGTTGAATGTACATCTTTATGCTAATATGAAAAAAAATAAGATATACGAACTCTTTGGAGGCTTTATGTCTCGACAGAATTTGCTTCCGCAGCAACAATGAAATGCCTTCACAGGGTGGTCATAATCATCAAAATCAATTCCATAATCCTACAACAGACAACATATTCCAGCTTAGCTGCTAAACAATGGATAAATGCAAATAATTCCACAAATTTAATTTGAAGGGACTATTTCAAAGCCACCAACATAAGCTGTAGTTATGCTTGCCCACATTCAAGAATTTAAAACCTAGATTACATATAAATGTTTTTTTTCTTCTGTTGATAAAACTAGACATATTAACAAATTAAATTAAGAACGATACATATCTCCATCTCCCTGAGGGTGGGCCTTGGCATTAGTTGGTTTGGTTTCGGTTAACCAATACAAAAAAACCGGTGGTTAACCAAACCAACCAGTATATACATGTAAATGTGTATGTGTATATTATATGCATTTTTCATATATATTTTACAATATCTATATATTATAAATGAATATATATGTATTATATATAAATATTTACTTATAATATATAATATACTATTTATTATTTATAATATACTATATTATATGTATTTCTAGTGTTTTTATTATATATTTATTTATAATATATTATAAATATCAAAAGACCGAACTGATAAACCAGTTAACCCATTGGATTCGGTTCAGTTTCAGTTCATGGTTTTCCAAAAACCGGTAGTACCGATTCAGTTTGGAAAATAGGCCCGTGGTTTGGCTAACCAAATTGTGAGCACCCCTACGGTTGCTCCATTGTGACCTGGGTAACCAGGGTTCAAATCTTGGAAATAGCCTCTCTGTATATGCAGCCATGCAGGGGTAAGGCTGCATACATCTGTCCCTCCCCAGACCCCGCATTGCTGGGAGCCTCATGCATTAGGCTGCCCTTTTTTTTACATATCTCCATCTCCCTACACATAAGGGTAATTCTGATGTAATGGATTCCATAGACAGAGATTGATTTTTTTACCTTCTAAACAAGGGAATGAAAAAAAAAAAGGATCCCTTGCTCTCACTTGGAAAGAAACTCAACAGAAATAGAGGTTAGTGGCAGAAAAGGTGGATATCTATAAAGAAAGATACTTCAATTGACACATGCAAAACAGTGTGATATGAACAATACACCTTCAAGCGAAGAGCAGAGAAAGTTGCATCAGAGTCACTCTCTCAATGTGTGACAAGATCCAGTACGCTAAAACCCTTATCATGTGGCAATGAGATTTGTTGCTCAAATGTCTCTAGTCATGTTTGTTTCGAAATAAAGACAAAATCAAATCTTTAAGAAATGCCTCTTTTGCCACATGGAGAAACTTGAAATATGCAGAGAGGAACAGGTTAACCTATTGGAGCAGCCATTGGCAAATAAATGTCTATGCAAGCTACTTTAACTCAGGAAAGTCCAAAAGGAAATATACTTCACTTGGAACTGGGGTCACAAGCTGTTTTGGAATGGTAGAATACTGATATATTTCATTCTATTGCCAATTGGCATATTTATGCAGTAAGCTGCTGCAATAAATAGAAAGAAAGAAAATAGAAAGAAGAAAAAATAGAAATAAGAGAAAATACAAAATACAAAAATAGAAAGAAAAACTTTCTAAAGCAATCCTTCCACAATCCTAGGAATATACACAATTCTATTTTCARATCTGAACCAGTAACCCCACGTTTTCCAACACTCCCCCTCAAGCTGGTGAATAGAGATCCTCCATTCCCAGCTTGGCTATAATTCTCCGAAAGTCTGTACTATTGAGCCCTTTAGTAAGTACATCGGCCAGTTGTCCTT